GTCTAGTCCCACCTACTACTACTAATTAGCTACTGCTTATAACCAATAGAAAGAACATTTTTCATCCCTACCTAACTCCGACAGTTGTTTATAAATAGCTTGAAGGAGAAAATAATTTTGCCAAAACCGTTGAAGTGTGATGATTTAGTTGTTTCTCTGAACAGGAATGGGATTTTTTTTATAACAAACATACAGTTTATTTAGAGACCCGACTAAATTACAGGGATTTTGAGTGTACTAATACAGTAATTTGATAACATTTGGTCTTCAAAAATACATATTTGAAACCTAAAAAAAAATTAGTATATCTACCCCCTCCACCCAGAAGAATAAATGAGGCTTACAAGTTTGATGCACGATCGCAACATTTTGTAACACGGTTATGTACTCGAAATATTTGTTTGTTAGTGTATTTCTCATTTACTTTCTAAGTGTGGTGAAAGGGTAGTATCATTTATAAGAATGTGCTCAAATAACACCTTCATATACTTATGCTGCAAAATTCCACACACGTCAAATGAGTGACCATAGTACTGAAACACCTGATATGTAATTCGATAAGCCTAGCACAGAACCGACAATGTTTATTGAATCAGCCCAACTCTGAACCATATAATAAATGTTTTTACACATTCTAATTTCAATTTTATTACCCCAGGAAATTCCTGTTGAAAGTATTGTAGGAACTATAAACTGCTATATCCCATATTGTGTTCTAGGAGCGAGAGGAATGTCACATCACTGAATACGTGTGCATTTTTGCACTCGAGAGTTTCGTATTACAGTTGTACATTAACACTGTCTTATAACATGGGCGGTGAATTATTGCTTTTTAGTCAGCAGGTCTGTAATTTGTCGGTGACAGTAAAATAAACAGAAAATATATGGGATATGTTTAGCAGTTGACACTGTCATGGGAAGAACTTTGAAATTTCATTATCAATAATGAAGAAAAAGGAAACAGCTGGTCATTACATTTCTGATTTTCCAATTTTTCTTTTCATTCTACTTCAATGAGTTGTCTACAGGCTGAAGAATCAAATAATAAATGTAATAACAGGCAAAATATAACATTTTATTGAAAAAAAAGGTATATGTATTTAGGAGGTTTCAGAGGTTGTGCAAATGAAATTCACTTTGCACTAACAAAAAAAAGAATCAATATTTTCACGAACAAATACAAGTAAAAATACTTCATTAAAAAATCTGATTTTTTGTGTGCAAAAGGCTTCTAATGTTTACTATAAGTGTACAAAATTTTGTAAAGATAAACTTAAAATATTAAAAGTTATAGCATGAAAACTATAACAAGCACAAAAGGGTTACGAGGTCGGTTCCAGGGACTGAACCCGTGTCGAAAGAGTCAATGTGCTACAAGGATCTTAAATACGAAGTATTATATTAAAGTTGCCTGATGCTGCTTGGGTCAAACATTCACATAAAACCAATAGCACAATGTAAAATTTCAGTAACAAGAAAGGAAGGGACTGATCAAGATTCAGCAATTAATTACTTCTTAAAAACAAGTCACAAGTAGTTTCATTGTAAGGAATTTTAGTAGTAACCAATCCAAGATCAAGTCAAATACCAGTTGTATCTTTTACATGTAGTTTATCATAATCCCTGGAACTACGTTCTATATTTAGAAAATCTTTACGTCCATGCAGAGTTGCAGATGTACTTACAGAAAAACACCAACTATTAATAACAGTTTCTCCTTGGTGAATATAATATTTCTCAAACTTTATCTTCTCCCCTTTTGAGGTGAGATTTAAATTTATAGTATTTTATATTAATTTCCCCAAAAGGGGGATGAAGGCTTCCTGGAGAGAGAGGGAGGAGGGGGGGGGGAAAGGTCAGTTGTTGTAATCACTTGAACCACTATAAAGTGTTGTCCATTCAGTAGACACTACAATGATGTCACATAAGGTAGGCTTAACATTGCAGTTTATACTGTCATGAAGTAAGTAAAACACGAGTTTGCCATGAATTATAAGAAGTATTAAGCACACTATACGCTACAACACAGCATGACATATGAACTTCAAAAGGAACAAATAAAAATTTGTTGCTCTTAATTTGGATTATATATACCTCTGAAGGGAACCTGTAGAAGTACATCTAGTTTAGCATATACAGACACACGGTATATTTAATACAACACTATAATAGTACAATATCATCTTGGTTGGTACTACTGTCTCTTAACTCTTTATAAAAGTACTTTCTTTATAAATAAATTTAATACTAACTAAATCTTGTTTTACTTAACATGAAATACCCATAAATCAGCAGCAAGTAAAGAGCTTGAAGGTTCACCCTCAAGAGTTTGGCAATTACACAAACCTCCAAGTACGTACATGTTCCAATCAAGTTTTGTTCCTTCAACTGGAAGCTTTGCAGTCTATGGACATTGTGCTACCTTACATTCAAGCAGCTAACACACAGATGACCTCTCTCTAAGAATCTGAACTCACCCTTTTGGAAAATCATCAAAAGGATCTTTTTTCTTATGTTCTTCTGCCAGGGCTTTTTCAGTTTCATCTAATTCTTCTACTTCTTCTTTCTTTTGGGGTTCTTTTTCTTTTTTGCCTTCCTTCAGTGACTTGCCTTCTTTGGGTGGCTTGCTCTCTTTCTTTCCACCTTTACTTTCTTTACCCATGAACTCGGAAAATTTCTTTGCTGCATGAAATGAAAGTCACTTAAAACTAATTTGGATACAACTTTGACAGAAAGATAAATAGTAACATATCCACCAGTCTTTTGACCAGGACACTAGTCAATTTCATCTACTTCACTAACTTGGATACAACTTTGACAGAAAGATCAATAGTAACATACCACCAATCTTTTGACCAGGACACTAGTCAATTTCATCTACGTCACCAATTGCAGTTAATGTCACGAATTTGTGAGTAGAAAAGTTTTTTTTGCTACAGTGCCAATGAAAATATACAGTATTACACTGAATTATCACTAAATTTAATTTGTCTGTTTTTGTTTTTCACTTATGATTGCCTCATTGTAATCTGTATTTTGTTAACAACTAGCACGGATTGTGTTGCAATGAATTTCCCATTTGACCTTTTGGAATAATCCTTTCTTACCAGATAACTTGGGTTATAACAGGGGGAAGAATGACAAGAATTTTGTAAAAATAACTTCTCCATCCCCTCAAAATACATTCAAAATAAAATTATATCTGAAATGCTGAGACTTTAAAAAAGTTGTTTTGATTTTAATAACAAATTTTCTATAATCCAGTTAAGCACATTTCAAATATAATATTAATTTTTTTTCTATCACGTGAGGATTTTTTACAAATCAGAAGGGAAAAAAAAAACTTACGTAAATCAATTATTTTCCACAAAATTAAAGTTTTTTTATTATGTTTGTTACCAAAAATACAAACAAAGGGAAGAACACTGATGTCAAACAAACATGCAATTCATAAAAGAAAGACGACAACATGTAGTTTTGAGACAGAGAGACATAGATTTCATAAAAAAATTGGGATGAATGAGGATGCATCTGGAGCATCTCGTTTCAGTGACCTGCAGTGATCAGCTATTATGCTGATGTTCCAACTTCTTCGATACCTCCTCTCCATTTTCCTGATGTCGTGATGAAACCTTTTCTCTTGTTCTTCACTGACAGATTTTCAGAGAAACAGTCAATATGTGAGTGTTAGAAATGAACCTTTAAGCTCATATTACAACCCAGCTCTTTGAATTTATCAAGCATGTTATTGACAATATTTTCATAATGAGGGTTCTTGAGGTTCCCTAAAAATTTGCAATAACCTTTTTTAAAGGTAATCTTAGGCTTCTTTTTCAACTTTCCTCACTGTCATTTTGAACTGTCCATCTGAAGTCAATTTCCTAACCTGAGGCCCAACAAAAATCCCTTCAAGTTTTGCTTCTGATAGAGCTGGGAATTACCCACAAATACTTGAAACAATCACCATCTTTGTCCAAGATCTTTACAGACTGCTTCATCAAGCCCAGTTCTATGTGAAGTGGAGGTAATAGGACTTTCTTTGTATTGACCAAATGTTCACATTCAATTTTTTTCGATCCTGGTATCAGGCAGACTCTACATGGCCTTTCCTTCTTTATCCAGTACTGATTTCATGCTCTGCTGTCCCATTCACACAAAACAACATGGAAACTTTGTATAACCAGATTGCTGACCCAACAACATACAAAGGACTAAGTCTCCACAAAGTAGCCAACCACGTTCTTTGTATTTGACCTTATTAAGAAGTTCAAGATTTTCGTATGTTTCCTTAAGTGAACCAAATAACCAATAGGAACAAATACATATCTTACTATTGTAAAGTAGAACACATTTTAGACTTTTTTTTTTTGGAGGAATCAATAAACAATCACCACTCACTTGGTTCATAGACTGCAGCTTCTAGCATTGGTATTAATCCAGCAATACTGTTGCAATAAACCTGTGAACTTTCTTGCAAAAAGTAAGGTATAAACACTTTTTCACAATTTCTATACCAGTAAAATGATATCCCTGGAGAACGTAGTTCTTAGCTTGAAGCCTGGACCCCAAAATCTCTGAAGATTCCATTGGAAGGCCCAAATCTCACACCAAATAATTTAGTTCACCTTGTGTTAAAAGTTGTGGTTCACTAAATATTTCAGGTTGAAACAATCCCTATTATTATTTCTACTGACATCAGATGAAACTGTATCAAGAGTCACCAGTGGAGTAGGTACAGGTACATCAGGTCCATGAGCAACAGGTCTTAATAATAAATTTCCATTTTATTTCGAGCATTGTAGCTTTGCATATTACTTAAGCAAAAATAGCAGTCATTTCCATGGTTTTTATGCTCATGCCAGACCACTGGCATTCCAAAAGACAAAGACTTTCTTACCTTTAGTCCACTGTCTTAGCTCTTTGACACAAACAGTGCAAACTCTGTGCAGAGCCCATGATTTGTCTTGGTCCCAAAGTTTTATTCCAAAATTTGCATATTATGCATTTTTGATGAATTCCATAATGTTTTGCCTTGGTTTCTTTACAGCATACTTACCACAAATATAATAGAATATGTTTGGGTCACTTACACAACCTCTTGTTATCATAGTGACAAATAAATAATATTGAAAAGAAAATAATGTCAAAGTTCACGCACAAACAAATACTATCCAGAAATGACACGTCTTGCAGCCCGTTCACCATTTATATACTAGCAGTGTGTTTCTCATGGGTTCTAGAATGAACGATAAGACTCTTACGTCATGATTGGTCTAGAGAAATCTATAGCAAGTAGTTGTCAATATTTTAACCATGAAATGTGACCCAATTTCATGAAAATTATTCACTTATGTAAAAGTACATACGACATTTTGTGAAACATCTGTACATGATGGATTCAGTGCACATGAATTACTGTAGAACATGTAAAAATTAAGACAATAAAACCATCGCAGGCATGTGTTATTACCAAGATAGTGAAAATCATTAAGTTTCCTGCTTGTTCAGATACAACTTATCAGTGAACAAAACCAAGCTGCAAACCTTTCCTGTTCACATGAGGTTTAGTTTATATAGTTTGAGGACAGTGAAGTTGGTAGTGTCAAGAACTGAAATTATTTATTTGCAGCAAAGGTTTCTTCCTCTTTTTTTAACATTAGATTGAAAAAAAAATGCAAAACTTTTTTTATGACGTACCTAGATGCCTTAAGGCCAAGCAAGACTTTGTCTTGTAAAGTTTTTGTATTACTTGTATGCCACAGAATGGTAATAAAGCAGGTGAATGAGTTTTCTTCTATGTTTATTTTACTAATGTAATTTTCTTGGCAGTTAATTTACTATTTACAAGAATTCCTGAGGCTTGTTACAAGGCCATCATCAAGTCAGTCAATGCTAGGACAAGAACTCACGAGGTTTGTAACTTAAGGCCATCATCAAGTCAATGGTAAGATCATATTCTGTCTATGGACAAAAAGCCAAAGTAGTGTATCATCCATTATATATACATCTCTGGAAGAATTTAAAAAAGACAAACTTGTTTGTTGTGGCAGAAGGCATCATTGTTTCATGCAAGTTGTGTGTCAAACAGCACCGCAATGACAGATGGATGGCTTTTTGCTTTTATATAGTAATTATTTTTTATTAAGTCAAAGTTAACATTATATACCTGACACCATACAATGATTTGCCAAAGTGCAAGAGGATAAAAAAATCATCCATAAGTTAGGCATTTTCAGACCACAACATTATGTATATAACTTAGCTACTCTGATGTATGCCTTATGCAATCATGTACTTTTGGATTCTATTTTTGAGTCTCAGTTGCAATCAGGTACTGCTGTAATAATAACAACGATCATTTCTTAGGTCATGGCATTATTAAACTATTGAAGGTTGGGTTACGGAACTTACAGCCAAAGACTGTGTACAGCCTGTTACACTAAAGGTTACGGAATTTACAGCCATAGACTACGTGTACAGCCTGTTACACTAAAAAGATTCCTAAAGGTACTTCAACAAGCATGGTAAAAGGTCAGCAAGTATCAAAATTGCCACACGTTTGATAGTATCCCTCCTCTAGCAACTTCACTCTCCATACATGCATATGTAGCATAAACACAACTTATTACTACTGCTGTAAATATAACCATACAACAAAATGATCTTTGTGGCTACTGATGTACACTTGTGGTTAATTCAATATAATACAAGCAACTTTTTTGACCTTAGTGCTAACACAGCTTCAGCCAATAATACAGCACAATTTTCCTTAATCACTATACAGTTCTACATACTACGGTCTATAATGCATTATAACACTTCTTCCTCACTAGATAATAGTTACCATCGAACTGAGCCATCTTTTCACATAGTTTAAAATCTCCAATGACCTTTTTGAACTGGGGTTGATTCACCAAAGTAGTAAACCATCTGTTGACATTCTCAAAGGACTTGCGGAAAGCTGGATCAAGAACCTAAGATACAAGATATTAAAGTTTAAAAACAACTACCACAGTTTGACTATTGCTTCAGGAGAAACTTTTCTAGGAAACTCCTTAAGAGATTTTTAAACAACGATTTGTCCACAAAGACCTCTTTCAATTATCTTAAATATGATTTTTAAGAACATACAAGTGAAAACAAGAAGGATGTAATAATACATCAACCACACTACATCTGCCTGTGCCAATGAGGCGGGATGTGACACGTATAGTTGTGGTTGAGACACTAATTATGTCGCTAATTTCATGAACAACAACTGTTATGGTATGAACTAGTTCAATAAATTACATAATTTATTATAAAACTTACATGTTCATAAAGAAAGAAAAGATTACAGCAAACTGAAATATCAGCTTGAGTGATTCGTTCTCCAACAAGGTAAGTTCTTGTAAGGAGGTGATTATTCAGCACATTTAGTGCATTTGTTATATCTTCCTTGGCACGGTCGGTAGCCTAACAAAGTAAAAAGAATGAAATTAGTCAAACATAACCAAACAATGAGATTTCACAAGCGCAAGGTAATACAGAGATATCTAAGAATAAAAGATTAACAAAGTTTCTTTAGTGTTAACCCTATGCAACTACTGGCAATGAATGCCAAAGCTGTAAATACTAAAATGTTCTACCAAAAGCACTTCCAACTTAGAAAAATGTTCAAACTTAAACTGCCACACGACTCAAAGATTTACCCATAAACTAAGATTGATGTTATTTTTTAATACTTATTTTGCATATCCCAAAGCAAAAGTTTATATCTGCTAAGAAACTATCATCGTTTTAAAATATAATTCTTAACATTTTGTTTCTGATGTGATTTTACCAGTCAGCATCTCACCTATACCTTTTTATGACCTCATAGCAATAGTTGATCTACTTATGAAACCGGGCATTCAAAATCAGGGCTCAACTTTAATGCTTGCCCAAGATGACTAGCACCCTGGAATACACCCTTACTCAAAACAGCATCGCAGTCTGCTGTACACACGTAATGTTAGCTCCAATCCTTAACCAAAAATAAATCAAAGTACAAACTCAAAAATTTGAACCTCATCAATATCATTGGTGATGCTGTTGCTTTAGTTATATCAAAACACACCTGTTTGTTGTACTGCATGATACCCAGACATGGAAATACCCAAGTACAGGCACTTGGCAGGATTTCATGGTCAGCAAAGCTTATCCACTGGATAACAAGAGCTTGGTCCAAAGCAGTTTCGCCCCTTAGCTGATCATTACCAACTAAATAAAGAACATCAGAATTTTATTAGATAATTAGCAAGTCACATTTCAAAACATTTATTGCAAATCTACCACAGAAACATCCTAATATCATCTGCCAACGAAAGTGGACAGAGGTTATGCTCTCACATTTTCACACTATTTTGGTTCTATACCTCAAGTAAAAATCATTGGATTGTGATAAAACTTGGACATATGTAGAATGTTATTCCTCATTGTCCTGACAAAAATGGTCCACATCCATTGATAATGATAGAAATAAGGACATTTCTGTATTTTTTGAATGACAAACATGATCAATGCTGTGTGGCAGAGGTATGCTCTCTACCGAGTGCCTCCCTAGTTAATGTGAGAAAGTAAGCAATCAATATCAATATTTTACACTGTGAATCACATCTTCAAGCTGTTTTATCATTCAATATTAGTAATTAGCTAGACCACTGTGACCCGTTGGGTCACCCATTATTCAGAGGTTATGAAGAATTCAAGCTAATTTCAATATTGCACTGAAATGAAGATTTATTTTGAGATAATTTATTTAAATATTTCAATCCATTCATGTTATTCATAATTCAAGAAAAGATATTTGATTGTTGATCGGGAGTAAAAGGAAATACCATTTCATTTTTCAAAAAAGTGATGTAAGAAGTTTCGTAAAGAGTGCAAACGGTAGTGTGATGTAAAATTACTCATGCTAGAAATTTTCATAAGTTACCCTAAAAATGGCACTAACTTGGTAACCCATGGCCTGATTTTAATGAAACCTGTTTTATTCCATTTCTGTTCTCATTTCAGGGGTACTGTATTCTTACAAATATGACGCTATTGTGATGTAAAATTACTCATGCTAGAAATTTTCATAAAAGTAACCCAAAAAACGGCGCTAACTCGGTAACCTGTGTCCCGATTTTAACGAAACTTGTTTTATTCTGTTTCTATTCTCACTTCAGGGGTACTGTACTCTTACAAATATGATGCCATTGTGCGCCGTTTTTGCTGTATTTAATTACAGACAGACAAGCAAACAAACAATCTCAGAGTTTTAGTAGTATATAGATAACAGAAAGTAAGCACTCAATACCAATATTTTACACCGAGAATCACATCTTCAAGCTGTTTTATTATTCAATATTAGTACACAATTTTTTTAAATTTTGTTGTAACTACTTCTTATAATTATTTTAACAGTATTTTTAGTGTTATACAGATCTCAATATCTAAAGGGAGCTTCTAAAGTTTCAACAAAATATTTGATAATGTTGTATTATCACAATTTATCACTTCTGTACAAAAAAGTAACCACTTTATTATTTTATAAAAGCATGTCCTGTTAACAATTCCACCTTCTCAGTACCAGTTTGGTAATCCTTTCTATGATAATATCTGGTAAATATGTTTCAAAAACCTTAAAAACTACCAGGAACTAATTCGAGGATTTTAAACCCACATCAATCAATCGTTTGGAAACAGAACAATCTGCACTTGCAAGTCACTCACAACTTGTACGCTTACTATAGTGAGCTATAGTCACTCACAGCTTGTACACTTACTATAGTGAGCTATAGTCTCTCAACTTGTACGCTTACTATAGTGAGCTATAGTCTCTCAACTTGTACGCTTACTATAGTGAGCTATAGTCTCTCAACTTGTACGCTTACTATAGTGAGCTATAGTCTCTCACAACTTGTACGCTTACTATAGTGAGCTATAGTCTCACAACTTGTACGCTTACTATAGTGAGCTATAGTCTCTCACAACTTGTACGCTTACTATAGTGAGCTA